GTGATCCACCCGCCTCGGCCTCCCAAAGTGCTGGGATTACAGGCTTGAGCCACCGCGCCCGGCCTCGTATAAATTTTTTAACATCACCTCATGAAAATATGCACCACATCTCTCCACACCATCCCAGCCCTACACTGCTTCTATACTTTTTAGAGGCTTTACATTCCCAGAGATTCTTTTTTCATCTCAATAATAGGTTGGTGACACAGCAATATAGGAGATAATTCTCAAGAGGGTAGACTATAAAGGAAATTTTTCCCATGTTATAAGTAAAATAAATATTATTGATAAAAACTTTCAATAGGCTGGGTGCAGTGGCTCACACCTGTAATCCCAGCACTTTGGGAGGCCAAGGTGGGTGGATCACCTGAGGTCAGGAGTTCAAGACCAACCTGGCCAACATGGTGAAATCCTGTCTCTACTAAAAATGCAAAAAAATAGCTGGGTGTGGTGGCACGTGCCTGTAATCCCAGCTAGTTGGGAGGCTGAGGCAGGAGAATTGCTCGAACCCGGGAGGTGAAGGTTGCAGGGAGGCAGACGTTGCAGTGAGCTGAGATCGCGCCACTGTACTCCATCTTCGGCAACAGAGCAAGACTCTGTCTCAAACAAACAGACAAAAAAGACTTTAAATCACTGGTTCCTAATCTATTTTTAGTTATATCGGATCTCTCAAGATCTGGTAAAAATCATGGGCACTTTCCTCTACTTACAAACAACAACAACACAAATTTTGTGTACAACATCCCAGTGCTATTGAAACCTCTAAAGTTTACTAACAGGCCTGCAATAAGCCCAAAAACATCAGACAGGGATTTCTGTTTTGTTCACTGCTATATTTGAAGTACATAGGATAGTGCCTGATACATAGAAGGTACATACTCAGTAAATGTTTAGTGCAAGACTGAGTAAATAAATGAATTTGTGTAGAAGAATATTCACTACAGCATTGCTCCTACTGGCAAAAAAATCAGAACTAACCTAAAGGTTACTCATAGGGAAATAGTTAAGTAAAACTGTGGTACATTCATACTGGTAAATAATATGTGGAAATTAAAGAGTGCAAATATATCCATACCGACTTAGAAAACTCTCTAAAATATACTGTTAAAAATAAAACAATTTCAGAAATGTATGAATACATATGAATGTCTATATAAAGTAAAGTAGTTCTTGTTAAAAAAGAAAATCTGGAAGGTTACACACTAAACTGATAATAGTAGCAACCTCTAGGGCAGCAGTTCTCCAGGTGTGGTTTGGAGAGTCCTGGGGTCCCTAGGATGTTTTTGGGGTCCACTAAGTCAAAATTATTTTCATAATAATACTAAGATATTATTTGGCTTTCTACCTCTTATTCTACAATGGGCTATTTTAGAAGTGACATGACATGACACGTCGTATAGCAAGAGACTTGAATGTAGAAGCAGACATGAGAATGTAGCTCTCTTACTAAGGTACAAATTAACTGGTAAAAATGTGAAGCAATGCCATTCTTCCCTTTCAATTATTTTTGTTTTAGAAAATATGGCCAGGCACGGTAGCTTGCACCTATAATCCCAGCACTTTGGGAGGTTGAGGTGGGTAGATCACTTGAGGTCAGGAATTCGAGACCAGACTGGCCAACATGGTGAAACTCCATCTCTACTAAAAATACAAAAATTGCCAGGCCCGGTGGCGCGTGCCTGTAGTCCCAGCTACTCGGGAGGCTGAGGTGGGAGGATTGCTTGAGCCCAGGAGTTCTGGGCTGTAGTGCGCTATGCCAATCGTTGTCCGCACTAAGTTCGGCATCAATATGGTGACCTCCCAGGAGTGGGGGACCACCAGGTTGCCTAAGGAGGGGTGAACCGGCCCAGGTCAGAAACAGAGCAGGTCAAAACTCCTGTGCTGATCAGTAGTGAGATCGCGCCAGTGAATAGCCACTGCACTCCAGCCTGGGCAACATAGCAAGATCCCGTCTCTAAAAAAAAAAAAAATTAACAGGGCATGGTGGTGCATGCCTGTAATCTCAGCTACTCAGGAGGCTGAGGCAGGGGAATTGCTTGAACCTGGGAAGTGGTGGTTGCAGTGAGTTGAGATCATGCTCCTGCACTGCAGCCTGGGTAGCAGAACAAGACTCTGTCTCAAAAAAAAAGGAAAAGAAAATATTGTTCTTTTTCATTAAAAAACATCATGTTAACAGGTAATAGGTAAATTATTGTTAACTTTAAATGAATACTAAAACAAATTCAGTTTAATGTCTAATAGTTAATATTAACAGATGTTAACTCACTAAACAAAAGCCTTTTAAAAGTTTCTCAATAATTTTTCAGTGTGTACTGGTGTCCTGAGACAAAAATTTTGAGAGCTTTTATGCTCAAGAGAGAGTTAAGCATTTTTAGGATTAAGAGGGAATGACAGACTTTTGCTTTATCTGTATAGTTTAATATTTATAACCAAAATATATTTGTGTGTTACTTATATAATTACAAATATAAATACAATGATCCTTCAATGTACAATTGTCTGTATTAACAATGTTTATTTTCATTACAAAGTAGAGTACTCATGTGAAGCAGTTTTCTGATTTCCAGCTGCAACCTCTCAGAATGCAGTTTCTATGGACTAAGGCTACTTAAAAGTTAATAAAAGGTCAATCCTAGATACAGCTATGAAACCTTCAGGGTTCTCTTCAGGCCCCAGCTTAGTTCTCCAGCCTATTAATTCTTCCCCTCCCTGGAGGCACCTTTCCAACATCAGGGCCTCTGCTTGTCCATGCCCCTTGCTTTCTACCAAAACAAGGAAGGATCTGACACAATCTATTTTCGGTTGGTTGATTTCATGAAATATATTCATACAAAATCATGCCAAACAGCTTTTTAACATTTAAGCTTATCATCTCTAATTACGTAGTGAGATGCTTTCTTCATCAAGAAATTCCTATTTCCACTGATCAGGGTTAGGGATGTTTCTAGGCCTGAGGGGTTTGGAAATTCACGGTAAGTCTACTGGACTGATCTCTGAAGAGAGGAATGACACTCTGTAGAATGACTGTTAGTGGAGGGAAGAGGAAGAGGGCAATCATTCTCTACAGATGGCTGTCTCTTGGAAGCCTAGTTCTAGAAAATGCTAGGAGCAGAGGGATGGGGAAAGAGGAAGGCAGAAGCAATTTAAGCTGGGCATCTACCTCGGTCCTGGTACTTTACACCCTTTATCTCTTTAAATATTTATAGCCACCTGAGGTGAGTAATATTTGCATTTTTAAAAGAAGTAAGTGCTTAAAAAGGTAAGTAAATTACTCAAATTTCCCTGTCTAGTAAATAGACAGGAAGGATCCAAGTTACTCCTGTTGGACACCAATGTCCTACTGTCCTACCCTGTCACTGTACCATGCTGACTTCTTAGATATTACTCACTGACTGGCTAGGGCTCTTTCGAGCTTTCTCCAGCCTTAATTGGAGTACAGCACCCTGTCCTACCTTCTCTAGCCTTGATTTCACCCTAGGCTTGAGAACATACATTCTCTCCTTTCTGCTTCATATGGCACTGTTTGGGGGTAGTTGTTGGTAGTAATACTACAGGTTCCCCTATGTATCCCCTTTTCTTCCTATAATATGGAATACTCTAAGGCCCTTTTTACACCTAACACTGGATTTGAAGATTCTGATGGAGTTGTATGTTTAGAAACTTCCCTTCTTATTAACTATGATACATTTTTTGAGCTACTTTTTTAGATAACAGTAAAAAATTATACATTTCTACCTTGTATCAATTAAGATGTGTTATACCAACTAAACATTGTCAATCAGAGCTTTTCCATTAAAAAAAGAAAAAAAAAGGAGAGAAACAGTGCCATAAAACCATGAACACATATAGTTTTCTATCTTTAAAATGAAAAGAAGTTATTTTTGAACTATGTAAGTAATGGGCAACTTGATTAACTTGATAGTTACCACAGTCAGAGTATTAAAGCCAGCTCTCCCAAGCAGATGTCCTAGGTCATTGACAGCAGTGAAAGGAGAAATGTGTGGAGAAAATCCTCCTTCCCTTTCCATCTCTGCTAACTGTAAGGAACACCGAAGTTCATAGAGTGTGTCGCCTCCAAACATGGCACCAATAAATACTCCATCTGGTTTTAAAACATAATGAATCTGTAATAAATACGATAACATGATTCAAAATTGTACACATATAAATGTTAAAAATAAATATATAGTGTCTAATCAACATTTTATGACTACCATTCTTATTCTGCCAAATTAATAATCAGATAATTTAATAAATAACATCCAATGCAACCAGCTGTCAGAAAATCATGATGCATACATAATATAGTTGGAAAGACAACTATAAATCCACTAATAATATTAATGCCTACAAAAATGTTGTATGTTTTCAGGTTTTCTAATCGGTACAACTTAGTTTTATAATCAGAAAAATACTGAAAGAAAAAAATTTTAATTGGGATAGGCTGCAAAAATCACAAACAGGCCAGTATCTATGGCCTCTGAAATGTCATTTTCTAACAAGTTTCATCAAGATAGGGAGTCTATTACCCCTCTCCTTGAATCTTGGCTGGCCTTGTGACTTGCTTTGGCCAAAAGAATGCAGTGGAAGTGACAGTGTGCCAGTTCCAAGTTTAGGGCTCAAATGTGTTGCATGCTTCCACCTGCTCTCTTGGAGCCCAGCCCAGCCACGATGTGAGAATAAGTCTGAGCTAGCCTAGTGGAGGAGGAGAGATGTGGAGCAGAGATTAGCCAGCTGTGCACGCCGAGGCCCTCCAAACCAGCCAGCTCCCAGACAATCTGGCAGCTGATCACAGACACATGGATGAGCCAAGCCAGACCCAGATTTCGTAACCAAATCCAGCCCCAACTGCCAACCCACAAAATCGTAAGCTACATAGTTGTTAGAAGCCATCAAGTTAGGGTGCCTTATTATGTAGAAAAAGCTACAGAGAAATCATTATGAGTCACAGCCTTAACCTAGTAACACATTCGTTTTCTTTTGAAAGAAGTAATTTATTTTCCAGCTTTAAAACAAAACCAAGTTTTAACTGGTAAGTTAAGAAAAATAATGGCCGGAGTGAATTCCAGAATCACAAGTTTTGCTTACTCTCTTAGACTACCAGCTGTAATTAAACTCTGACTATTCTCAGCTATGAGGACCATTGTAGGAAAAGGTAGATTCTGAAGGAAACCAGAATCCAAATCACAGTAGGCTCTTCTAAAAAAGCACTGTCTTAAATTTATATCTGATATATCATGAAGCAATTAAAAGCATTATTACGTAAATAATTTGTAAAACCTTCGGTTCCTTCCCTTCTTCTCCTTTTGTGTTACTTCCTCTTCATGTTATCAGACTCTACTAAACCAAGTACGTAAGACTTAGTCCTCAGCAGTCTGCAGCCCTCATCTTCCTCAGATGGCTTACCAACTCCCGTCATTTCACAATGACCACTTTCCAATCTCTATGTTCAGCTTGGCCATCTTCCCAGAAGTCTAAAATCATCTTCAACTCCCTATTCCCTGGACATTTGTCTCTAAGCATACTTACCACCCCCTGCTCCCTCCAGCCCCCACAAGGAAAACACATATTTATCAAATCAGTTCCCTTCTCCAACTGCCATATTTCTATTACTATTTTCTAGTCCCTTTATCTGATTATTAACATTCTTTCCCCTACTTTGACTAATCTAGACTCAAAACTTTAAAGTGAGCTTTGGCTCCTCCCTTTGGTCTTTAAATCTAACCAGCCACCAAACTGTTGATTTTTTCTTTGTGGAGTCCTAATTACTCTTCCTTTTAACTCCTACCATTACCACCTAGGTTTAGTTTATCTCATGCTTGGACCACTGAAACAGTCTCCCTTCAATTTAAACTTCTCCAGGAATCAGTTTCTTTTCTTTTTTTTGAGAAGGAGTCTCTGTCGCCCAGGCTGGAGTGCAATGGTGCCATCTCAGCTCACTGCAGCCTCCGCCTCCTGGGTTCAAGAGATTCTCCTGCCTCAGCCTCCCTAGTAGCTGGGATTACAAGCACCTGCCACCATCCCTGGCTAATTTTTGTATTTTTAGTAGAGGCAGGGTTTCACCGTGTTGGCCAGGCTGGTCTTAAACTCCTGACCTCAAGTGATCCACCCCTCTTGGGCTCCCAAACTGATGGGATTACATGTATGAGCCACTGTACCCGGCCCAGGCATCAGTTTCTAATCAGCAAAATAAATACATCTCGCAGAGCTATTTAACACAAATGTAAAACAGAGCACAATAACTGGAAACTAGAAAATCGTATGTGTTCAGATATGGCCATTATTATTTTGCCCACCAGCTTTGTAATTATGTTATTTTCCTCTTCAAAGTTCTCCAGTGGCTCTGAATTGCATCAACCCCAAATTCCTTAACCTGACACTCAAGTACCTCCTAAATCCTGTCCCAATACATCACACCTCATTTCCCAGCACTATACTAGTCCCCCAAACAGGTTTCCTCTTTGTTCCTTCATGCTGATGAGGCTCTTGTACCTCTCCACCTATTCTGTGATTCTGCCTTCTTAGAATGCCTTCCCAATCCAAGTCTTACCTACCCCTAAGGCCTTGTTCAAGTACTTTCCTCTTGAAGCTTTTCTACACCACTTCACGCCACAGTAATCTTGTTCTCTCCTTTGAACACATACTTTTTACCTACCTCTCACCTATTTATTGATAAGTGTCACAATAAAAATTTACCTAGCACTCTCTGAGTTTAAGACATGGGAAAATATAAATATAAATAAGTAGGTTCCTACTCACAAAAAGTTTATAGGCAATTAAGGGCTAGAAGAAATCTACACAGAAAATGTCTTATGATATCAACATTATCTTGCACAGTTCCTAAGCTTTTCATAAATATTTAAAACTTATCTCTACAATTAGATTTCTTAAATTCTGAGGGAAAGGAGAGTTGCCCAATGTACTACTAATATATCAAGTGGCACCAGGTGATTCCACTGATTCCATTCTCCAACTGTCAGCCCTACAAGTAAATAGTTTGTGAAATCTGAAACATCTGTAGGTTTCTAACAATAAAGAAAATAATACAGGATAGTTGAATGAACGTAAGTTTTCTTACCTGCTCAAGTGCTCTAGGAAGGTCATTCACCCAGTGCAAACTAAAGTAAGAGAATATAGATTTGTTTTAGCTTAATTGGCACAATTAATTAGTAAAATTATCACCAGTATAACCCATAAAAAGGTGTTAAACTTCAAATTTTGAAATTGCCTATCAAAATCCACTAACTATATTCATACACATTTCAAAATTATAAATATTCCTAGAGGGCCAGGTATGGTGGCTCACGCCTATAATCCTAGCACTTTGGGAATCCAAGGCAGATGGATCACCTGAGGTAAGCAGTTCGAGACCAGGCTGGCCAATATAGCAAAACCCCATCTCTACTAAAAATACAAAAATTAGCTGGACGTGGTGGCTCATGCCTGTAACCCTAGCACTTTGGGAAGCCAAGTCGGGTGGATCACTTGATGTCAGGAGTTCAAGACCAGCCATGTTGAAACCCCGTCTCTACTAAAAATACAAAAATTAGCCAGGTGTGATGGCACTTGCCTGTAATCCCAGCTACTTAGCAGGCTGAGGAAGGAGAATCACTTGAACCCAGGAGGTGGAGGTTGCAGTGAGCTGAGATCACACCACTGTACTCCAGCCTACACAACAGGAGTGAGACTCCATCTCAAAATTAATTAATTAATTAATTAATTAAATAAGTAAATAAATATTCCTAGCGGAAAACCTTCCTTGTGTCACACCAGAAAATTCCCCATGTCAATATATCACTTTGCTTAAGTAAAAGAATCTAGTATGATTATTTTCTAATTCTTCATCACTGAATTATGTAAAAGTCATTTGTACTTAGGCATTTTATCTAAACAGTATTATTCTGAGACCTTATTTGTAAAAAGTAGTAAAAATGCTCAAAGCATATCAGTTAAATCAATTAAGCTACAGAAATATAGTATTATTCCAAGCCAGATTTTCTTAGAAAAAAGAATTATTTGCAGACCTAAATTTTCTCAAGGCAAATAGCATAATTCATCAAAAGCTTGATTCTGTGAGTTTTCCAATTAACATCTAATTTTTTAAAAAGTCGATTTTTAAGACTTTATTTTTAATTATATTTTAGAGCAGTTTTAGGTTTACAGCAAAATTAAGAGGAAGGCACAGAGATTTTTTTACATCCTCCTATTCCCACACATGCATGGCCTCCCCTATTATCAGTATCTCCAGAGTGTACATTTGTTACAACTGATGAACCAAACTGACATGTCATTTCCCCCAAGTCCGTAATTTACATTAAGGTTCACTCTTGGTGGTGTATATTCTAAGGGTTTGGACAAATATATAATGTCATATATCCTATATTATAACAGTATCATAGAGTAGCTTTACTGCCCTAAATATCCTCTGTGCTTCACCTGTTTATCCTTCCCACATACCATCCCTGGCAATCACCAATCTTTTTACTGTCTCCAGAGTTTACTTTTTCGAAATATCACAGTTGGAATTACACACTGTATAGCCTTTCAGATTAGCTTCTGTCATTCAGTAATATGCATTTAAGTTTTCTCCATATCTTTTAATGGCTTGACAATTTCTTTTTAGTGCTGAATATTCTGTTGTTTGGATATAACAAAGTTTATCCATTCACCTAATGAAGGATATCTTGGTTGCTTCCAAGTTTTGGCAATTATGAATACAGCTGCTATAAACATTTGTGTGCAGGTTTTTGCATAAACATAAGTTTTCATCTCTTTTGGGTAAACACCAAGGAGCTGGATTGTATGGTAAGAGTATGTTTAGTTTTGTAGGAAACCACTGAACTATCTTGCAAAGTGCCTGTACTATTTTGTATTCCCACCAATAATGAACTCCACATCCTTACCACCATTTATTACTGTTGTCAGTGTCCTGGATTTTGGCCATTCTAGTAGGTATGTGGTACATCCATTTTTTTTTTAAGGTAGTGAAAATAAACAAAAACCAGAGCTATATATACTGAAATTTAATAAATCTCTTGAATTTTCTTTCTTTTTTTTTCGAGATGGAGTCTTGCTCTGTTGTCTAGGCTGAAGTGCAGTGGCACAATCTCGGCTCACTGCAACCTCTGCCTCCCAGGTTCAAGCAATTCTCATGCCTCAGCCTCTGGAGCAGCTGGAATTACAGGTACACGTCATGACACCTGGCTAATTTTTGTAGTTTTAGTAGAGATAGTGTTTCACCATGTTGCCCAGGTTGATCTCAAACTCCTGGCCTCAAGCGATCTGCCCACCTTGGCCTCCCAAAGTACCAGGATTACAGGCATAAGCCATTGCGCCTAGGCCTTGAATTTTCTTTTGATTCTACTCTCACTTACAGTGTAGTCATGTGTGACAGTAAAAGTCATATTCTCAGTCTCTGCAGAGTATGGTCACACTTTCCTGTAGAATTGCATCCCCTTATGCTGAGTTCCGGGATAGAATTGAATGCCCATTTCAAACCATACTGTGTTAAGCTCGTATTTATCATTCTTAAGGCTTTCAACAAGTATTAGATACTTTAAAAACTAAGGAGGTCATATTATAGCTCTGTCATTCTTATGGGAAAACTGAAAGTAACATAATTAGTTACTTGCAAATAGCAAGCAGATGAGCTAACATAAAAACTCAGGTTCAAAACCTTTATGACATAAATGATCTATTTATAACATATGGTTTTTAAAAAGTGGATTACCAACCTTAAACTGCTAACCACCAGGTCAAATGTATTTTCTCTGAAGGGAAGGAATTCTTCATCAACTAAAACGCTGACAGTAGGAATTTCTGTTTCTAAGGAATTTTTCTAACAGTAAAAAAACAAAAGATCAAAACCACATTTATGTAGACTCTCAATTAATAATAACACAATCACTGTTAAATTGAAGTCAATGATCTATTTACTTGGCAGTTTCTACCCGCCTTCCCAAAGGTGGCACAGAGAAGGCACCCAAAAAGCATTTCTTAAATGACTTAACATCAGCCAGAAAAAAACGGCTAACTAGTTGAAACAATATAAACAGGATACCCACCTCACACCAAACAAATTTCAGAAGGCCGAAAGTTTGGCTGGGCATGGTGACTCACTCCTATAATCCCAGCACTTTGGGAAGCCAAGGCGGGCAGATCACTGAAGATCAGGAATTCAAGACCAGCCTCGCCAACATAATGAAACCCCATCTCAAATAAAAATACAAAAATTAGCTGGTTGTGGTGGCATGCACCTGCAATCTCAGCTACTCGGGAGGCTGAGACAGGAGAATCACTTGAACCTAGGAGGCAGAGGTGAGCCAAGATTGTGTCACCATGCTCCAGCCTGGGTGACAGAGCAAGACTCTGTCTCAGAAAAAAAAAAAAAGGCTGAAAGTTTTAGTTAAATAACTGAAGTAATAGATAAAATACGGGTGGACAGGACATTATTTTACCCTTCGATGAAAAAGCCTAGGTAAACATAGCAGCCAGAAACTGTAAAGGAAAAGACTGATATATTTGATGATAAACTAATTAAACATTTCTTTTTTTTTTTTTAAGATGGGGTTTCACCGTGTTGGTCAGGCTGGTCTTGAACTCCTGACCTCAGATGATCCACCTGCCTTGGCCTCCAAAGTCCTTGGATTACAGGCGTGAGCCACCACGCTCGGCCAAAAATTTCTATTAATACAAAACAATAAACAATGTAAACAACTGAGGAAAATATTTACAACATATATAATGAAGGATTAATATCCCTAAAAACCAAGCTCTTACAAATCACCTAGAATAAGAACACATGACAGCTAAAGTAGATGAAGGACAAGGTGCAGCCATGTCACAAAATTATTTACAAAATTCACAAGAAATACCAATAGTCAAAAGACATTGGTAGCTGTCAGATTGACGAAGACAAAAAGACTGGCCCAGTGTTGCCAAAGCAAAGGAGTAAAAAGTACCTTTTTCATCGTCCAAACTTTCTAAGGACAGTTTGAAGATGTATGTCAAAAATTTTTAAATGAACATCAAAATGAATCCATAAATTCTGCCTCCAGGACTTTATACCCAGGGAAAAACTAAATCAAACATATAAAGTTGTTTCACATAAGGATGTCCACTGCAGTGTTGATTATTAAGAAACTAGAAATGTAACTGCCTTTCAATAGAAAGTTTAGCTAAATAAACTATGAAGTATTCATATATTAGAATACCATGTAGCCATTTAAAAAGATGATATATGACATATCTGTACAAATTCACTGACAAAAAAATGACGTGCTGTAAATAACATGGAATATTAGCATAGTAATGGTCATAAACAATTGTGTGTGGAGGTGGGGACAGTTATGTCACAAATATAGAGACCAACTGACACCAATGGTTGCCTCTGAATGGTGGGACTAGAGGTGATTTTTCCTTTGTCCTTGATATTTCTTGTATTAGTTCCTTTTTATGTGTCAGAAAAGAAAGCTAGTTTGAAGAAAATAAAAATGAAGAAATAAAGTACGAAGAAAATCATGAGATTAGAAACCGAAAGTGTTAAAAAGCTACCTACCAAAGCATTTTCTGCAATGTCGGCTTGGAAAAACTTTCCAACAGTTTCCTGAAATGGAATAACTAAAGCTGAAACAAGCAAATCCAGTAACAAACAATTGCTTTACATTTCTAAAGGTAAAAGTATTAATTATAATTAATTACACTTATAAATATTAATAATAAGTATTTATGTTTTATAATTTTATATTTATAATTAATTATAAGTATTAATTATAATTTTCAGCTTTGTAAGGGTATTTTTCACATAAAACCAGTATGGTACACAAATACTTTTAGTAACACATATCTTTTGCTATATTTAATTATATGTAATAAAACAGAGAACATGAATATGCAGATTCAACATCCTGAATTTACTAAACTAGGAGAGGGCTTCTGTATTAACTTTTACATAGCATAACATGCTAAGAGCCAGTTTCCCCATCTTGTGCCACAAAGGACCCTCAGTGCATTTCCTGCCTTTTAGTTGTTCATTCATGGAGTTTACAGAGTAATGAAAGACTTCCAGACACAAAGGCTTAGGGTGGGGCTTAAGTGGTTGCATTTTCCCTGTTTCATCTACCCTCTCTTCCTTCCAAAAAGAAAGGAGACTGGGCTATTTCCGTACTAGAAAAACACTTTCCCTTCAGCTCTCTTTTCTCCAGGATCCTGCTCCCCTATCTCCATCTATCAATCTTTAATCTCTGTCTTGCCTCCTTTCTTCACCTTAAAACATGCATAAGCTTTCCAATTATCAAAAATCTCCTCCGTCTAGGCACCTTCTGGTTGTTTGGTTTATAATCCACAACTCTACTTCTTCCTAAATTCTTTCTCTCCATTCTGAGTATCTCTTTGCTTTCACTGCACTCCTAACACTATCTGCAGTCTCTGCTCACTACTCTGTCTGGCTTCACCTGACCTCTTTGAAGCACAGCATTGTCAACAGCCTCCTAGAAGCTTCTTTAGAAACTTCTATTGTGGCTGCCCTCCTCTATTAGAGAAGCCAATCCTTTTTTACTTTATCCACACCCACTTCCCTGCCCCCCAACTTGGAAAGGGATCTCCCCTACCACAAAAACTCTACCATTACTTAGTCACTGCAGATTATCTGAGGGCAACTGGTATGCAAGTCAATGTTTAAATACGGGTTCTCAAAAAAAAGAAAGCAAAGAAAAGAAAAAGAAAAAAGAAAGAAAAGGAAGTGCCCTGTTTGCCAATGTCCATGAAGCACTCAAACAACAGTGGATTTCATGCTACCAACATGATGTTGCTAAGTACGGAGCTGGGAAGAGATGTGCTCAATGGCTCTCATGAGCCAGCTCTAGCACACTCCTGTGAAGGGTGAAGAATTAGATCAATAGGACCATCTATCACCGTCTCTCACTTGAAAATTTAGACTAAGAGACTTCAAGATAGTAGCAGAGTTCCCTGGAGTTGGAAGAGCATTTAGACTTCAGGATGAAGGCAGTGGTATGCTGGCTCTTGGTGGGGGACTCCTTTGTAGCATTTGCCAACTTCCATGGTATAAATATTCCCACTAGGGCTGATGTCAAGCTATCAATACAATGTCACAGAACAAAGGTTGGGAAGAGATGCTAACGAATGGCTCTCATAGGCTGGTCTACGCTAGCTTCAGCTCACCACTGGGTATAGGGTATTCATACGGAACCACACACAATGTTGAACACTACTAGGGATAGACTACAGGGAGTAAAAAGAATGAAAGCAACCAGACAGCATTCATGTAATACCAGAGTGCATGTGAACAAGAGGAATGTTATTCCGGTGTTTCAAAATTCCCATCTCTTGTGAGGCCTGACTCTACTTCTGGATCCCTGAGTTACATAGGAGCCCCTCTGTAACAAATGTCTCTGTGTTTAAACTGGCTTCAGTGCATTTTCACTTTCAACAATCAAGTTACCTTACTAAGATACTTTCCATCTTACTATTCCTGGCATCTTTGTTGGCTCCTCCTCTTTCTACCAACCCTAAGTAAAATTGCAGAAGGTTCCTTGATATATTCTTGCTGCAAAGAGCTTACCTATTTCTTTTCATTTTTCTTTTTTTAGTAGAGACAGGGTTTCACCATGTTGGTCAGGCTGGTCTTGAATTCCTGACCTCAGGTGATCCACTTGCCTCGGCCTCTCAAAGTGGTGGGATTACAGGTGTGAGCCACCACCCCCGGCTGAACTTACCTATTTCTATGGCTTCAGTTGTCACTTCTGAAAAAGACTTCCAAAAAAAACCATAGCCTGCCTTTGACAGATTTACCTTGTCTCACTTCTTACCAAGCTTTCGCAATGGGTTTTATTGACCATATTTTATAGAAACTGAGGTCTAGAGCAATCGATTGGTCCAAGGTTCAAGGGCACAAGACAGTGGCAGAGCTGAAGTCTGAAGCCCTATCTGACTTCAAGTCAATCAGTGCTCTTAACCTCAATATCCTAATTCCAGTTCCACATTTCCAACTACCTGCCAGCTATTAATACTAACATATTCCACTGTCACCTCAAACTCAAATATCTAAAATAGGAATGATCCCATGCTCCTTGCCATATCACATCCCCTGACTTTTTCCAGTCACAAAAGGTATAACTTTAACTCTAAAGTTATCTTGCAATAGTCATTTAATAAATCTTCATTGTGATTTAGGTACTAGGATTTAGTGGTGATCAAAAATGAGCAAATCCGATAAGAAAAAATATACTAAATATACATCAGGAGCTTGCAAGTACTATGGAAACAAATAAAGCAACTAGTCAGCAGAGAGCAGGGCCACTATTTTCTAAAGCACTCACCGGAGGAATCTTTGATGCGGCCAGCTGAGTAAAAATCTGACAGGGAAGAGCATAGAGAAAAAGAGCAATGCAAAGCCCTGGCCTATTTGAGAAACTGCAAGGAGGCCAGGATTGCTGAAAAGTTGGAAGTGAAAGGAAGAAGACAGGACCAGAGACATGATTAAAAAAAAACAGAGTCCTGAGGGTCTTATGGATTAGGACTCTGGATGACTACTAAGTTAGATGAGAAACTAACAGTTCTGGGCAGAGGACTAACAATGATTTGATTTGTGTTTTAAGAGGATTACTTTGCCAGGAGAACAGACTGTCAGGGACAAAGGTAGACACAGGGAGACCAATAGAAGGTTACTACAATAATCTAGGCAAGAGGTGATGGTAGCTGGACAACATGGTGATGGGGAAGGTGGCAAGAAGAGGTAGAGTTTGGTTATATTTTGAAATGAAATAAAAGCTGCTGATGGATTTGATGTGAAAGAGAAAGAAATAAGAGAAATCAATAAAAATGTTTTTGGCCTGAGTAACTGAAAGAACAGATTTGCTTGCCTACCATATCTGATCAGTCATCAAGTTCTGTTGATGCTTCTAGGTCTCCCATACATCTCATCATTTATATGTGCTGGCTCTTAATGGGTAGCAGGACTTTATTTCTCACTCCTGTAATGTCTTTAACACAGCCTTCTAATGGGTTTGTTTCTCTGTCCTTTTGCATCTTCAATCTTTCTTGAACGCCATCCCCAAATCAATTTTCCTTAAACATCACTAGATCACACCCTACAGCATTCTACCTCTGTGCCTTTCCTCCTGCCATGTCCTGACTTCCAAAGCCAGGAACCACCGACTCAAATTCTTTCAAATCCAGGTCAGATTCTGTGCCCTCTGAGAAGCCTTGACCACGTGAATCCCTACTGATTTTTCTTTTTCCTTAATTCCTGTTGTACTTTAATAAGTGCACCATTTCTATGGCATTTACTATTACCATTAACAGTGTTTTAAAAGCCTCACCATGCCCTTCCCCACCCTGGCCCAAGTGTATGTTTTTATCAAAGCAGATTTTATGTAGAAATTTCACTTTATGGCCAGGAGTGGTGGCTCACGCCTGTCTCCCTAGCACTTTGGGAGGCCCAGGCAGGCGAATCACTTGAGGTCAGGAGCTCAAGACCAGCCTTGCCAACATGGTGAAACCACATCCTACCAAAAATAGAAAACTTAGCAGGGCATGGTGGTACACCTCTGTAACCCCAGCTACTTGGGAGGCTGAAGCAGGAGAATTGTTTGAACCCGGGAGGCAGAGGATGCAGTGAGCTGAGATTGTGCCACTGTACTCCAGCCTGAGCACAGAGTGAGACTCCGTCTTAAAAAAAAAGAAAAAGAAAAAGAGGCCGGGCGCAGTGGCTCAAGCCTGTAATCCCAGCACTTTGGGAGGCCGAGGCGGGTGGATCACGAGGTCAAGAGATCGAGACCATCCTGGTCAACATGATGAAACCCCGTCTCTACTAAAAATACAAAAAATTAGCTGGGTATGGTGGCGCGTGCCTGTAATCCCAGCTACTCAGGAGGCTGAGGCAGGAGAATTGCCTGAACCCAGGAGGC